CCGAAAATGGACTCAGAATGGCCCTAGGTCCATTGTTTCATCAAAATTCCCGAAATTTTTTTATTTTGAACAAATTGTTCTATTATTTCGGGATCTTAAGGCCGAGGGAAACTGAAACTTGTCTTTCATAGACTAAAATCTATGCTGAAACCGAAAATGGTTTCAGAATTGAGCTAGGTCCAATATTTCATAAAAATTTCAGCTCAAAATTTTTGAACCAAATATCCCACGAAATTTCTTTTCACATCAAGATTATTCTAATATGTGAGGTTCTTGTCTTGGCTAGCAAATTTTTTTCAATAGTCATGACAAGAACCCCCAAATGTAGAGGAAATTTTGGAAAATTTTGTAGTAAAATCGGTCCGAAACTCGGTTCGGAAATTTTGATGAAATATTGGTCTCAGGTCCACTATCAGTTAATTTTCGGATTCAGCCTAAGTACTAACCTTAAATGTTAAATTTTTGCAGCTCTAGGCCTCAAGACCCCCATACAACACCACAAATTGTTTAAAATAAAAAATTTTCGGGAATTTTGATGAAATATTGGTCCCACGTCCATTCTGAGTCGATTTTTGGATTCAGCATGGGATTTTACCAGAAAGGTGAGTTTGCAGCCAGATTCAGCCAGTAGTTTCCGAGTTTGAAGCAAAAATAAAAAAAATCATAAATTTTGATGAATGTTGGACCTAGGACCCACACCCCAACAAAATTTCAAATTTATTTTTTGTTTGCTTTAATCTCGAAAACTACTGGCCGAATCCGGTTGGAAACTCATTTTATTTTATTCCCATGCTGAATCCGAAAATGGACTCAGAATGGACGTGTGACCAATATTTCATCAAAATTCCCGAAAATTTGTTATTTTAAACAATTTGTGGTGTTGTATGGGGGTCTTGAGGCCTAGAGCTGCAAAAATTTAACATTTAAGGTTAGTACTTAGGCTGAATCCGAAAATTAACTGATAGTGAAAATGAGACCAATATTTCATCAAAATTTCCGAACCGTATTTCGGACCGATTTTACTACAACATTTTATGTTATCTCAAAATTTTCCAAAATTTAAAAAATTTTGAACCAAATATCCCACAAAATTTAATTTCACATCAAGATTTTTCTAATATGTATATGAGATTCATGTCTCGGCTAGCAAATTTTTTCAATAGTCAAGACAAGAACACCCAAATGTAGAGGAAATGGGTGTTCACCTGAAACGAAACCTGTAAAAACACATACAAATTCATTCATTACATACAAATTCTTATCTTAAATATATCGGACCTGCCGATTTGTGACTTTTAGCCCATAACTACTTCAAATAAGTTTTATATAAGAATAAATAACACTACCGATTGTGCTAATATTTATAATTTTGTAATTAAAATATATAGAATCATTATTTTGCAATCCGGTTCAATATATGGTAAATAAAAAAAAATAATAATATATTTATTTACATACAAGCTGCCAACGAAAGAAATATCTTTTACAACTTTTGTGGCCAAATTTCTCACCGCTATATCATGGCATATTTAACAACCCTGCGCTATTTCAAAACTCAAAAGTTGACAACACTAATAATAATATAAAAAACAATTTTTTTTCGAGTTATCGAAATGCGTGTGGAGCAATCGTAAATACAAAAAAAAAAACAATTGTTGTTTTGTTACATCTGTGGTTGTCTTCATTGTCCGGTTTGCAATTTGGTGATAGATACTGATAACCCTAAGGGAAGGTCTTATTTATTGGTGGAAGATGCTAGTGTTGAAGGTTAAATAAGTGATCGAAAAATGTTCCTCTGCATCTTAAATAAGTTTGACTATTGAAAGAAATAATAAAATAATTCACGATGATTATTAATAAACTTGCTTTTATACGCAATGAGTGTCAACATCATATCTACATTATACTTTTGATCTCGGCCTTTGCATTAAGTGGTATATCTGTGTACAATATTGTTACTAGAGTCCAACGTCTGAAAAATGATTTAAAGTATTACAATAAGATATCATTGGACTTTAATGACATTACAGAGGTGAGATTAGCCGAAAGCGCAGACAGATCGAAGGAACGTCGCCAGAATTGTTCTATATGGACTTGTGTGGATCCTTATCGTTGTGGGCATGACCGGATTAGTATTTATGTTTACCCCTTAGTGGAGTACATTGATGCTAGTTCTGGTGCTGAAGCTGCGCCTTTAACACAGGAGTTTTATCAAATTTTAAGCACCATAGTTAAGAGTCCATATTATACCTCAAATCCAAATCAGGCATGTCTTTTTGTACCAAGTATTGATTTGATAAATCAGAATAATGTTAATATTGATTTGGTGAATAGAGCACTGGCATCGTTGGAGCACTGGAACGATGGACGAAATCATGTTTTGTTTAATATGCTCGCCGGCTCCTATCCCACATTCAACACAGTGATTGATGTGAATTCGGATAATGCTATTGTGGTGGGAGCTGGTTTTGACTCATGGTCATATAGACGAGGTTTTGATGTTTCTATACCTGTTTGGAGTCCTTTCTTAAGAAGTCATCCCACCGCGCGAACTTCAACGTCTGGTGAATATACCTTAGTGGTGGCACAACTTAATATTTTGCCAAAACTATTGTGGACAGTGCGAAGTCTCTTAGATGAGTATCCCAACGACATTTTGTTTCTAAAACAGTGTAATGATAAAGCCATACGTGGTGAACGTTGCTTAGCAGAGAATAATGAGGAGAATAAGTTTGAATATCCTGAAGTTTTATCCAAAGGAACTTTTTGTTTATTGGGTGCTAGCGCACGACTGGGACAACCCGATCTTTTGGAAATGCTCGCCTTAAACTGTATACCAATAATCGCGATAGACACATATGTTTTGCCTTTTGAAGATGTTATAGACTGGTCTTTGGCATCCATAAGAATACGCGAACCCGATTTACACTTGATTATGGAAAGAATTAAGCGAATATCGGTGGATAAAATCGAAGAGATGAAACGCCAGGGTCGTCTATTGTACAATAACTACTTTAACAGCATACGTTCTATTACAATGACAACATTAGAATACTTACAAACTCGTATGTTTCCACACAATGAACGTAACACAAAGCATTGGAACTTTGTGGATAGCTCTAATGGGGTGGCCCTAAATCCTCTCTTTTTATCGCGTGTTGTAAGTCGAGCAGATGGCTTTACTGCAGTTATTTTGACGTATGATCGTGTAGAAAGTCTTTTCATATTGATAGAAAAGTTATCTTTAGTACCTTCATTGCATGCAATACTGGTCATTTGGAATAATCAACAAAAGTCGCCACCTTTATGTAAGTAACTTGTATATATGAGCAATTGAAGAAAGTATATAATTTTCTTTACATTATATTTTTAGTGTCCAGTTTCCCCGCCATTTCTAGACCCATAAAAATTATACAAACACGTAATAATAGACTTTCAAATCGATTTTTCCCCTACAAGGATATAGAAACTGAAGCTATATTGACAATTGATGATGATATTAACATGTTAACAGACGATGAAGTAGAATTTGGGTAAGAAAAATTTAACTGTGCCTGAAATTTAAATTAAAACATTGAAATTCGATTGATTAGCTATGAGGTTTGGCGCGAATTTCCGGATAGAATAGTAGGCTTTCCCAGTCGTTTACATGTATGGGAAAATTTAACCTCTCACTGGCGTTATGAGTCTGAATGGACAAATCAAATCTCTATGGTTCTAACTGGAGCAGCATTTCATCATAAATATTGGAGTCATATGTATACATATCGCATGCCTGATGTTATAAGGGAAATTGTAGATAGCCGCATGAACTGTGAGGACATCGCAATGAACTTTTTAGTGTCGAATGTCACCAATAAACCACCAATAAAAGTAACTCCTCGAAAAAAGTTTAAATGTCCCGAATGCGCAAACAATGAAATGTTATCAGCCGATTTAAATCACATGCGCGAAAGGTCAAGATGTATTGATGAATTTTCACATATCTATGGACGAATGCCACTACGTTCGGTGGAATTTAGAGCAGATCCTGTCTTATTTAAAGACAATTTCCCAGAAAAGTTAAAGAGATTTAGTGACATGGGTACCTTATAAACGGTATATGAAAATAAGTACAAATTTAATTACTGAAATTATTTTGAAAAATTAATTCAATCTTTAGTAAAGGGTAATAAACAAAATATATGTGTATGTATGTAGTAGCAAATATTTAAAACCGATAATTTATTCCATTTTAAATTATCACTCGCATTTAAGAATATCAATTAATTAGCTCCATGTAGTAGAATATTATCTAAATATTATTATAAACATTAAACATTACGCTTTTTAATTTAGTAATATTCAAATAAATAGAGATTAAACTAAAATAGTTGTTTAATTTGACATTTTTTGTGAACATGCACAGGGCTTAAATAAAATTGGCGATTTTTTGCAAACATTGTAATTTCTCATGGCAGCACTGATAGAGACAATTTTATGGATTTATCTCTCTGCTGCTTCAACGTCAAACAAGCTTTGTTGAAGCGTCGGCAGCGTCAACATGATGGCACAAAAATACATTGCTGCTTGACATCCATAGAAGACCAGTACATCAAACATGTGTATTTTATATGGAGATTGCTGTTGACTTATTTGCCGACTTAGAAAAAAATTATGCTGCAAGAATTTTTTCGCGCCATCTTTAAAGTTTTTTCTATTTAACCAGTGATTTGCAAAAATATCTTTTTGTGCAATAATCTTGGCTTAATTTTTACAAAACTAAATTTTTTGTGAAGATGCACTGGCTTAAATAATGTTGGCGATTTTTCCAAACATTTTTTATTTCACATGGCAGCGCTGATTTTAGCACATACTAGTGGCAACTTTACGCATTTATCTTTTGTAATTCTTAAAGTAACGGATCTTTTATTGAGTTGCGTTTTATCTTGTGTTGGAGTATAAAAGTTTTTATTTTTTATTATAAAGTTTTACGTATTTTGTTGAAAATAATTGTGAAAATGTCGACGCAAGCTTTACAGCTATATGTATCGGAACAGTTATACAAGTTTTGTTTTGGACAAAGATGTTGCATGAAGTTTTTGGGATTTCTGTTTTCTTTGGATCGTCAGCATTTCATCAAGTCCACCAATGATTTGAGTTTAGGAATGCAGACCTATGTCTATGACGGACAGGAGCATGTGATTGTGTTTAAGGATAGTTGTTGTCACGTCTTGAAAGAGCCGACAGGCTTGAAAATACAAAAGGAATCTGTGAAGGATATGTACGTGTTAAACTGTCGCGACTCTAGTACAGGCCAAGAAGATAAGATAATTTCCGGATTTAATAATCCTCGTAATACACCTGTGGTACCGCAACATCGTTTTTCTTTGGGCCCCTTGAAACAATCGTTAGCGCGTCCCAATAATTATGCCATGCAGAGCTGTCAAAATGGTTGCCCTTTCCAACCATACAAGGAGGCTCTATTGAATAGCCTACAAACCAATCGCGTAGTTATAGTTAATGGTGGTCCCAAATGTGACAAATCTACCATACTGCCCATGTACATTATAAATAGCTGTGCCGAAAAGAAAGTTCATTGCAAAATTATATGTGTCGAAAGGGAACATTTGGTGGCCATCTACAATAGTGAAAAAGTAGCTGAACGTTTTCAAGAAAAAGTTGGTGAAACCGTAGCTTATCAAATACAACTTCAAAGCCGCATTAGCGATTCATCAAATCTGGTCTATACAACCTCATTTTTTCTTTTACGTGTACTAATGGGGCAATCGATAGTGGATAGTTTTCGTCACATTTCTCATGTAGTTGTGGTAGATGTGCATCTGCATGAGGCTTATGCAGATCTGCTGTTGCGTGAATTAAAAGAGGCTCTTTTGTATCATCCACACTTAAAGGTCATACTGCTTTCAAGCTCGCGCAACAATATGGAATTTCTCAATTACTTTGGCGAGGGTCAAGAATTATGTTTGGACAAAACCAACGATGACGTAGGGAAAAATATTGATGTTTTATATCTAGAGGATATATTAGAGTGTTTGCCGGAAACACGTATTTCTTCTGGTATAACAAAAGCGTTTTATGCTCTACCTGTAAAAAACGCCAGAAATAACATTAATAGTAAACATCTGGACAGATGTCTGGAGTCTTATGAGAGAATGGCATCTGATCAGTATTTTGAGTCATTTCTCTACATGGTTAAGGGTGAATGTTGTAATATTAATTATCGCCATTCGGCCACCGGTAGAACTGCCTTAATCATAGCTTCTCTCCTTGGCAAAGCGACTCATATTAAAACGCTTTTACAACTAAATGCTGATCCTTATATAAGTGATAATCAAAACACAAATGCTTTAAAGGCGGCCATATCTATGGGTTATAAAGAATGTGTCGATATCTTGCAAATGTCACATTATGAACAGAGATTATCATCAGTAGAGGGATTAAAAAAGGACTATATTGATTATTATCTTATTTTAGATATTCTACAAATGATAAATTCTAATAAACGTTGGAAAAATGGTGAGTAGCATTATATAATATTTAATAAAAAGATCCAAAATAACATTTATCGTTACATTGTCGTAAACTTATAATTTTGAAATTCTTGGTTTTAATCCTCAGGCAACATAATTGTATTTTTACCCTCATACCAACATTTAGTAAAACTTAATTATGCAATACTTAAGCAAAAGCTCTTGGGTAATATTCCCGAAAAAATTATGGTATTTTTATTACACAATTCGATTGATAAAACTGATTTAGATGCCATAATACAAAAATGGCCCAATATGGTAAAATTAATCTTAGCCACTGATATAGCTGAAAGTCTAATGTGTTTCGATGATATACAATATGTCATCGATGCCGCTCGCCATTATCGTTGTATTTATAATTATCGTAGCATGTGTAAAGAGTACCTTTATGAATGGTCACCAAAGGATAGCATGGAAAATCGTTTGTTGCTTTTGTGCCAAGAAACAGGCAAGTGTTAGGTTTAATTAAGTTAAATTTTTAATAACTATGAAAACGTTTTTCCAGGCGGAGTTTGTTTTCGTTTAATACCCAAAAGCGTCTATGGAAATCTACCGGATTTTCCTACACCCGAAATATTGAATATAAATTTAGATCGTGTGTGTCTCTCAGTCAAGCTCTTGTCTCCAAATACCATGGTGGCAGAATATTTACAAGAAACAATTGTTAAGCCGCCTTTCATACAAATTTATCGGACTGTAGAAAATTTAAAGAAAATAAACGTCTTCACAGACCTAGAGGATATAACCTGGCTAGGCTGTCGTCTTATAGATGTGCCGGTGGAATGTTATTTGGGCAAAATATTGGTGTTTGCAATTTTGTTGCAATGCTTGGATCCGGTACTAACAATTGTGGGCTTTATGTCGACTTTAGATCCCTTAGAGTTATCACACTATATGAATCATTTAAATGAACCCTTTAGGGATTTATTGCGTCATAATATTAAAGAAGAAAAACAACGTTTATCCGAGGGAATTCCATCCGATCATTTAATGTATTTGCGTCTGTATCAAGAATGGCAAAATAATTTTAGAAATGAGGAAATGTGTTTGGATTTGAATGAATATCATTTCATTTTGAATGGCCTGTTGGAACAGGTGTGCAATATGCGTACTCAATTGGTTGGCTCTTTGAGATCATCACAATTAATACATAGCAAAGGAGATCTTAGTATGCATTATATAAATCTCAAATCGAATTGTTGGTCTGTCATCAAAGCCGCCCTAGTTGGTGGAATGTATCCTAATATATGTGTATTGGATTCTAAAGTCAATCGTATTAAATCGCCCTGCAAAAGGGAAATGGTTTTACATCCAAATTCTGTTTTGCGACCATTGGATTTAGATTCGATGAGTTCGTTGAATTTTGGCTCGCCCTGGATAGTGTACGGAAAAGAAACAAATAGTTCCAGTTGTAATGGTATCGAATGTAATACTGTTGTGACGCCCATTACAGTTGCTTTGTTTGCAGGTGAGTTTTTGTAGATTAGACTTAACTGTATTTATAAAACTAAATTTTTATAGAAAGATCCATTATTATCATTAATAATGTTTTATCACCCTTTTCCCTTAGGACCCACTAAAATGACAACATCCTCCAGCATTCAGCTTATAAGAAACCAACAACAAGAACTGCAAAATCAGCGCTGCCACTTCCGCATAGATGATTGGATATCCTTCGTTGCAGACCACAAGGAGGCTCAATTGATTTTAAAAACCCGACAAAGTTTCTACAGTATGTACGAAAATTATTTACAATATTGTGGTTGTTTAGAGAGTCACAAACGACCTCATCATATTCTTACCTTGACACAAAACTCGAAATTATTCGATTGCATTGAAAAGATCTTAACACAAGAGGATATTGCCAATGGTTTTAAGCAACCAGAAAAAATTGGCTTAAGACCCAAAGCATTACCAAATCAATTTATAATGAATCATAGTGCCTATACTTTATTAACGAAATCATGTTATAAAATCACAAATCATCGTAATAGTTTTGCAGCAATAAGCAAACAATTTTTTATGATCTATAATAACAATGAAATGAATGACAATAATAATAGTTATTATAATAGTGAATGGTATCATTTGCTGGCTGCCATGTTATCGCCAACAGCTCTAGAAAACAAATTAACTTTTGTCATCTCATATTCATTGAATCCGGATTATCTACATGGCGTTGCTCTTGCGGAATGGGATAAAGGACTGTTAAAGTTGCATTTCTGCTTTAAATGTGACATTGGTCTTATCGATATTCTGTAAGTAATAATCATACATACAGTGGACGTCCACTAGTACGAATTATATAGTGTCAGGCCCTTTCGTAATACCGAAAAATTCGTATTATTGAACAACACATTTTGTATGTTTAAATTCAAATAATACACATAAAATATTGGATTTTATTTATTTTTGTTTTATTTTTCATGAAAAATTACATAACGGAACAAAATATAATAAATGTGTATTATTTTAAATAAATTTCTTGTACATAAACAGGCATAAAAGGGACATATTTACGTATATGAATTGTTAATTTTGAAAGTATCGTGAGTCCAATGGTTGAAATGAGATATATGTAGAAGGTATTAAATTTTAATGTTTTTAAAAAGATGTGTGCCAAAGACAATTTGCAATTTACATATGTGTTCTAAAATGTATTAAAATGTTCAGATTACATAAAACATTTATTAGAAACTTGAATGGAATATACCACAATTCTCTAATTTATAATTTTCTCTTAAAAATTAGAATAGTTATCCTTAAACCCATTGTTTGGAATGTGGAGTCACACTACTTTCAAAATTAACAGTTCATACATACATATGTATATAAATATCATTTTACTTATTAAAAAATCCATCATTTAACATCGATGTTTATTACATTGTAAAATGATTCTTACGGCTTTTTCAATAACAGCGCTTTTGAGGCTTCAATATTGTTCTCAGCAGAGTTATTGTCGGGAACTAATAAAATACTTTCCTCATTGGCGTTATCATCCAATTTAATTTCTTCTCTTGGGTCATCAAAATTCCAATAAAATAAATTAATAACACTAAATAATTGTTGATTTGTAAATACACATGCAGTAAATTGTGTGTATAGGATTTTTAAAAATACAAAACACTTGTAATAAATACAAAAAAACTTCAAAATTACTGAGCTTAAGGTGAATGATACCGAAATAATAAAATAAAAACATAATAAAAACTTCATTCATACGTAAATAAAACCAAAATTCCCATAAAAAATGCGTTATTCGTACTATCGAACAGAAAAATTGTGACTTTATTCGTACTATAGAGTAGACAATGCAACTATTTTGCCATTCGTATTATTGGATATTCGTAATAAAGAGTGTACGTACTATTGGACGTCCACTGTATTTTTAATATTTTTTATTTGAGGAAATATTATGGAGATGTTTAGTTTTATTTTAGATGATTGTGTTAAATGTAAACATTAGAGAATATATATTTGTTAGCCTCCAGAATAGTCCTTATTTCCTTTTGTTATTTACCAATCTTTGGGGGTCTAGTGATGGCTCATTGGACCCAAAATATTGTGATAAATAATCTAAAACAAAACAAGTTATTAGTTTAAAACAAATACAATACATTGTAGGTACATGTTACATCTTTTTTTTACTTTCAGAAACCAAATCAGCAATAGCAGTTCCATATTTTTAGCTGTCTCTAGTCGCCGAGTCGCTATACAACTTGATAACAAAACAGGCGAGTTCCTGTTGAATATTTTTGCAGTACGTAACAATTGGTTACACACATAATTAATTATATTAATAGGTATTACATAAATAAACTTTAAGGATAAACTTTTATTAGATTAAGCTAAAAAAACAACAAATTTCAGTGAATGAATATGCAAATAAGTTGATTTAACTGTTAAGTTCATTTCATTTTAACATGCACACATACTCAAACATAATGTAATATGTGTGCATTTTTTCTACTTATATACCTCAATACAAATATACAATTGAATGTAAACAGAGAGGAAGCAATGATCAAAACAAAAAACAGCTGACATCATTGCAAAATAAAAACAAAAACATAAAAAATAACATTACACTATAGTTGTCTCACTCTAACGCACGGTTATCTTATGTGATATATAAACAATGTAAGGAATTACAGTAAAAGAGAACTCTCACCAAAATAAAAACAAATGACACTTGCTGACTGATTCTGTTCACCTGGTATTTTAGCAGATTTTTGGATTTTGTTAAAAATGAAAAATAGCCAGAGTTGCCAAGGCCAAGGATATCAAATGAAAACCGGGATCATGAAAAAATGGAAAAATGCTGCAGAAACCTAATGAAATGAAAATAAATGAAATAAAAATTAATAAAAAAATATTTTTGGGTTTGTTTTCTTTTATTATTTTGCATTTTAAATAAATACATGTATGTTAAATATTCAGTTTTAATTTTATGTAATATGAAAAATGTATTATTATTAATTTATTATTATTACACTATTACCATAGTGGTCAATGGTTATTTTTAATTAATTATAATTATAATTTAAGAGTCTTTGAATCATTAGTATCTTCAATTATTTTTAATGCTTGATGTTGTTGTTGTTCATTAGTAAAATTCGACACGCCTACTAGGTCAGCATTGAATGTTGAATTTCTTCTTGCGTTATGAAAGTTATCAGGTTTGTGGACTAGATTTTGATTAACTACAATATTGTGAGCTTCCTGCAAATGAAATAAATTATAAAGTTAAAATATTAAACGTATTTAGAATATGCAACTACATACAGCACTGTTTAAGTAAAAGGGTTCCATGGGATGATTTTGCATTATTTGATAACCATCCTCATTCATTAATTCGCCAATGGGAGTATTACTGGTTGTAGTGGTCGATGAGGAATCCTATAAATAACAATTTACAACAGAATTATTTATATATTAAACACAAATCTTAGGTAATATTAAAGGCTTCTTACATTTTGTTCAAAATATTCACCAAATACGGATTCATATCTCTGTCGTATAACATCTACCACATCTAATAGATTTTTTGCATCCATCGCTAGTACATGGGCAGCCGAAAGCATGCTTCTAAAATGTGTAAATGTTTTGCGATAAAACTAAAAGAATGCTTATTGAAATTTTAACAAAAACTTACTTTTTATATTCTACATCTAAAGTGGTATCACTGTATTGTTGAGCTAATTTCATAGCTGCCACCAATTCGTGCATGTCTTTAGGTAATACTTTATGTGCCATTTCGACTTCCCTGTAAGAAGAAATTTAAAATAAATTAAACTCGTTAAAGTGATGAAAACAACAACAAAGTAGAATTAAAAACAACTTACTTATATGCTTCTGCTGGTATTAAAGGCGATATATGATCGACTGATTGCAACAGTTTTCTTAATTCAAAACCAATGTCTTTAACTAATTCCAAGTAGTTGTTGCCTTTATTCTCTCCCACCACCTGTGACAGCGTTATGATGGCCTTCACCACATTTTTAGTCGCTAAATAGACATCGTCCCTATTACGATTCAAATTAGGTCGAAGATTATTTTTTTGTGCCTCAGATATTTGCCGGCTGGATGCAGCAGAAGAGTCTGATGCGGTCGTATAAGATGCAGACTGGTTGCCTACATTTTGTGTGTTCAGTTTTGTATTCGAAGGGGAGTTGTAGCTTTGATTTTCCGCCAAGCTGTAAGAACTATTAGTCGAGACGTTATCACAACCAGAATTATTTACCAATCCAAACGGATAATGTGGCGTTTCTATGTCATGACCAACAGAAGTTTTGCGGTTTTTCTAGATTTGTTAAATTGAAATAAAATATTTATATTAATTTTACAATTTTACAAAATTTTCTGTGTATCCATGCTAATAAGAATTGTTTGGTTTTAATTTTAAATAAAACCCCAAATCCTTTTAGTTTGGTTACAACAAATGCTAGTTAAATATAAAACTCAAATCTATATAAAAAGTAAAATAATAAAATGTAAAACGTGCGTTCATCTATAAACTATAAAAAACAAATCAGAAAACACTTGTATAAAAAATTATAATTTTAACAAATTATAAAGTCGAAAGAGTTTAAAATTTCAAACCTCCGCCATCATTTGTATCATAGCTTTACTATTATTCACTTCAGAACAAAATGCTTTTCCACACGAATCCATTTCTTGGACTCTCTCTTGCTGGGGAGGCGGCTGATCAATGGGAATGTTGGCATTCATACTTTGTATCATTATTCTTTGATCGTTAGTGGGGTAAACAAAGCCACAGCCAGGAGTCATCGGTATATATGTTTGGCCCGTAGTTGGACAACATTTCAAATTTGCCGCCGGACAAACATCATATATTTCTTCTTCGAAGGCTTTGTAGTCGGGAGAATTCTTCATGTGATTTTTAAAGGCTAAAAACGACGAATAGGCTTCTAAGCTGCCAGAGCGTGAATAAGATTTCGGAAAGTCTCTGTTGTAAACCGAACGTTCCAGACTAGCACTACGAGGAACGCATTTACGCGGAGGATTAACCGGATTAATAAACGATTTGTTACGTTCTAATGAACCACCTATAGAACGACTGCCGCTGCTTTTATTAAAATTTGGTGCGATGACATTACGTTCGAGGCTACCACAAACACTACCCATTTGTCTATTGACTGGAGTATTACGACCAAAGTCGTAAATAACCTGTGTTCTATCTTCGTTACCTACTAAACAAGGAGATCTGCCCGAGGGCAAAGATTGCAGAGAACCTTCAAAATCTGTACTATCACTATAAGAAAACTGATGTGCGGTAAAACGTGGATCTATGGAACCTATATGCGTATTATCACTTTGACGCATGTATTGCGGAACGGGACAGATATGATTTGCTGTACCCTTGGCCATCATTTGAGATGGAATTGTTGATGGTATTTGAGTTTGAGTATGAACTTGAGCTTGAGCTTGAGAGTGCGATTGTGGCGGCATTTGTGACATTTTCGTTTCGTTTAAATTTATATTAATCTTGTCCTGTTGAAGTCTCTGTAAGACCGTGGCCTTTTCATCCCTAGTTATAGTGTTGTCTAACTTTAGAAATTCCGATACGGGAAGTTTTGTCGTTTTTAGAGCTAAATCATTGTTAATTGTCTTAGTAGTATCTACATCAACCGCTAAACTGTTAAATACCGAGGCTGGTGTTGTATAAGCTGCTGGATTAATACAACGATTCTCATTTTCCTTCAATAAACGGGCTAACACTTCGGGATTTTGTGCTATTATATACGTTTGAGGACTGAGGGCAGTAGTTTTGTCATTTGTCAGCTTATTATTGTCTACGAGAAAGAATCCCAAGTTAATTTAATTGGAAAATATATATTAGGAAACTAATGATTGTACATACCTCCTCCACCCAGGCTTTGTGGTATCTTCGAGGGTTTTGTGGGTGGCAATTCACCATCTTCATTATTACTCATAATCATCGATAAAACACGAGCATTTTCCTTATTCATACTATCGAAACCACTGGCTCGTTCTTCTATTAGAATTTCGCTATTTAAAATGAAGATTCGTTTTAACATTTAAACGGTTTTAAGTTATTCATTTTACTTACTATAAAGTTTCTTTAATTCTTTTGAAATTCGGTCGTTTGGACGGTTCATAAGTCCAACACTGTGAAAGCAGTGAATACAATCGGGGTGGACAATTGTTGGGAAAAGGTAGTCTTTCACCATTCTCTAATTTTGTTATAATATCGCTGTTTTTAATACCCTGAAAGGGTTTTACACCCAACATTAAAATTTCCCAAGCACAGACACCTAGAAAACCACAAAATCCATTAAAATTTGTTCTTAAATATACGTTTATATTAATAATTTCTTACCAAACATCCAAACGTCACTGGCTATTGTAAAGCGTCGAAAGTTAATTGACTCTGGTGCCATCCATTTGATAGGTAACATACACATACTGGAATGGTAGTACGATTGCTCAGACACCCAGCGGGATAAACCAAAATCGGCCAACTAAACAATATTCCAAAACACATTCATTATTCCATTTACACTTAAAAAGGTGTTTTATTTAATTACTCACCTTTATACAAGTGGGCGAACTAACTAAAACATTACGAGCTGCTATATCTCTGTGTACGAACTTCTTTGATTCCAAGTAGCTTAGAGCGGTTGATAGTTGATAACAATACAGCAGTAAAGTTTCTCTCCGCAGCCTTGTTTAAGAGTTTAAACGAAAAATGGATTAAATATAATAAAATAAGAATAAATTTAAGTTTTTCAGTTTACTTTTCGGCATTTGATTTTAGATACGCTCTAAGTTCTCCATATTCCGCCAATTCCATTACAATCCAAACTGGAGATTCACTACAAATTCCAATTAGTCGTATTATATGGGGATGATCAAACTTCTGCATAACATCTGTAATGACAAGAAAAGGTTAAATTTTTCACAGGCAATATATTGAAATTTGGTCAACAAAACTTACAAGCTTCTTCAAGAAACCTTTCCATTTTTTCAGGATCATCGTTGGCTTTGCAGGTTTTAACCGCTACCTGTATTACAGCTGAATTCGTTGAATCGTTTTTGTCACCTTTTGCACCACATTTAACTTTGGTATTATAGGATCCTATGTAAACATCGCCAAATTGTCCCACTCCAATTGTATTCTTAAGAGATATTTCCGATCTATCCAATTCATAATTGCGCACTGTAAAGTTAAAAATTCTGTTAGCAGTAAACCTAATTTGAAAGTTGATTAATAATATACCTGCTGGTGTGGAATAGTCGCCTTCTTCATCTACCAGACCCAGCTCGGCATAGTCTTCACTCAATTTGGGCTTTGAGTTTTCATCCGGTTTATCGTTCACTTGTTCACCATTGCTGATTTGCAAGGTCGATATAGGAATTGTAAGATCATTAGCTTTATCATTTCTCTGATGACTCAAAGGATTCCAAAGAGTGCAAACTTGATTTTTGCTTATTAACAGACAGTAACCTTCAATGAGATCCGCTATGCTGGTAGCCGTCTAAGAACAAAACGTTAAGTTAACGTGAAAAATAGCATTGCAATGAAAATTTCAGCTTACATTGTAACCGTTGCATGTTATTACTAAATCTTCATCATTACTGCTTGTTGTAATTCGAACTTGGGTTTTCATTTCGCGGCACCTGCAGGTTTTGGATAATTGTGTGCCATCGTCATTAGTAGGTACTACTGGCTTGGGGCTCGTTTCGTTATTGGAATGTAAATCATCTTTGGGCAAAAATAATGTCGTTATTCGATTTATGTCTTTAAAGGTGGCCACCTGTATCATATTTGCTTGCGGATGTGTTTGATATGAAAGACCTGTTATGGAAATAATACTTCTTTTTATAGTTTCCTTTTACAACAAAAACATCTTATAGTACCTATCTTAGGTCCAACATAAAGATAACCCGATATGTTCCAGGACGAACTCAAAGTAACGGAGAACTTTTCATACTCTGTCTCATAGAACTTGTTGAGAATGTCAAAATACCTTGGAAACGAACGATTTATTTATATAAACCATTATATAAGTGAAACTGTGTTAACTTTTACTCACTTTGTTATATATTCGACATCTGTTAGTTGGTACATCTTTTTATATGTTGTATGTATCACTTTTTTCAGATTCTTTGGCTTTGTTGAAGATATCACAGTTTTTGGTAGGAAATGATGAAAGCCTACTTCCTTGTCAATATGCTCGACATGTTGTTGCTTCTTATCTGGTATTGGACGCGTCACATTACGAAAATAGTGCAACATACTCAAACAGCAAAGTTGTATTGCACTATCAAAATCTATACTGCTTGAATTTGATTGTATAAAATCTTGCTTCACCTTAAATACACAACAATAACAAATAATAATAATTGTAAATTACAAGAAATTATTATAGAGCTTTAACATACCTGATCGAAATAAAAATAACATGTGATTTTATCTTCATTATAAAGTTCTCTGAGGCTGTGTGGCAAGTAACGTATTCGTAGTTCGGGTCTCCAAACGCTCAGTTTGTCGTTAACATTTAGGGTTGGTGGCGTATTTTGTGACCTTTGCTGCGGGCATTCCGTATTCGGACAGGCTGAATTCCATATGTGTTCAAGTAGTTTTTCTATTTTAGTCGTCTTATTCATCCACAATGTTTCTTTTGTTACCATATTTTGCAAACGCAAAGCATAATATTGGGGATTCGGTTTCGGGCCAGTGGGCACCATCGCCACCGTCTTCTCAATGATGTCTTGAACGGTGTCATTGTGTCCGTCCACACAAACCGCATGATGTTGATTGTTCGGCCAGTAAACGTTCAAATTAAATTTTGTTGATATATTTGCTTAAAAGAGATAATTTTGCTTAAAATACTACCAATGTTCGTGTCGTTCTTTAGTACTTACCTTGATTAAAAGTATGATTTTTATTAAAGGACTGAGACATGCTTTTGTTTTAACTTATTCTATAATATAAAGTCCCTATGTCTTAAAAACTTTGAGCCTTAAATTAATTGTTCATATTATCATGCGTGTTGTTGAGTACTTTTAAATGTTGTACCTACAGGAGACATGAAAAGAGAAAATGTTCATTATATTTATATTTTTTAATGATCTCCAACTCTTTTTAAAATTTTTCTATTTATAACATTTTCAACGGTAAATATGATAAATTATTTCTATTAAACCTAAAATAGTAGAACTAAGGTAAAAAAATTGTAAATATTTCCTAAATGCACATAGTGGTTACTTAGAAGAATTCTCTTATTAAGAACGACTTCAGAACGAATACTTTTTTTATTAATGTTTTTTTTTTTGTGAAATGATCACCCTCGATATCAGTTATAGGAATGTTTAGCAATATATACACCGTTTTAGCATAAAAATTAGAACTACAAAGTTCTTTTTAGTTTTATCTGCTTGAAGATCGAAATCGTTTTTAAAAATAAACTTAATCGAAAACTTTTAGCGATTGATTCTGCTGTTTACTTAACTTGATATTTTAGATTGAAAACTTCCAATAAATACATTCGCTTAAAATCTTTGCGATCTTATTATACAATTAAATTTTTAATAATTTGACATGTTTAAGTTGTTACGGAAATAAGTATATTTAAGATTGAACTAGAATAAATACAACCAAGGATCTGTTTAGAATAAAGGTTTGCTATTGAAGAAAATGTAGTGGTATCGTTGAAAACCGTATGATTATTTTAAAACTTAAGCATCACACTGATAATATGTAGCGACTTTTGGAAAATTCAGTTCACATCGATCGATACATAAATATTCGTTAACCGGGTCATGATAACACAATTTTATAAAGAATTTCCGAAATTTGAACATGGCCAAAGTTTTGAAATTAGACTTAACACATTTTTAAAGCAGTATTAAGACTTTCGCGACCGTATGGTTAAGAGTTATCTTCCACTTTTTAAGAGTTGTAATCGATCTACAACATTTTAATGTTAAGCCGGTTTATGACTTAGCATAGACATTAAATAATCTCCTAATAATAGATGAGTGCGAAACAAAAATATTTTATTTAAAATTGTATACTGTCATCAAACACTTGTCCAACTGTTTCATGCAGAAACAAAAAAACTTTCGTTTAAGCATGCATATGTAAAATACATACATACATATATTTTCACTCCATAATATTTTTGTATGTAAATATGTAAATACATTATTAAATATACAGATATACATAGATATACACATATGTACATATACGTAGGATGAATTAAAAAAATATATTAAAAAGAATCAAATTATTATTATGGAGAGGAGCATAATGGAACGGAATGGATGTGTGTAAACAAATACTCAGCACAGCACAACTTATTACATTTTTGTTTTGCGGTTATTGTACCTAAATTATCATTTTATATTTTTAATATGTATTCATAGCAGTAAAAATACTATAGATGAAAATAAAAAAATGAGCACACGCTTGTCAAATGAATATGGAAGGAAATTAAACCAAATAAAACTTAATAGAATATTTGCTAAACAGTTGGCACCGTCTGTCCGGGCGGCCAAAAAAAAAAATTTTCTAAAAGCTGTTTATAAAACTTAGTATACACCCGATCTTTTTCTATTTGTAATAAAATAATTTATGTTTATTTTTGTATTTTAAGGCGTTATACCACTATGTGCACAATTTTTTTACTCTGTAGTTTTTTTTTTCTTTTTTTCTTCACACAAATTTAACATGTAGAAAATCTTTATCACACACACGCACGGCTAACAGATAGCAATTAATTTATTTTAGTGAATTTACTAAATATTCATTATGATTGTTGATTAGTTTAACATTTTTTTGTTTTAATTGTAATATTATTTCGTAAATATATTTTGCAATCACATAGTATAAAAAACAACAACCACCTCCGCAAAAAATATATATCAATCAATTTACTTTCGTCTAGACGCACCTTCAGAGACTTGCGCCGACAAAAATTAACGGCGGCAGCGGACGCACCTCTAGAAATCTGTTAGTGGTGAGTTTTTAAAATGTCATTTTTATTGGTAGAGCAGTGTTGAGCAGTTCATTTCTTTTTAATCATTATTCAACAGTGTTGTGTAATATTGTTAAGGGCGAAAATAAAAGTACTAATCGTATGCATTGTGTTTAAGAGATGAGGGATCTGTTACTAAAATTTACTTGTTCTTTGAAATTGTGAACCAGATCTAGTACTGTTACTTTATATACATAAGCATTTTTAAAATTACCACTTTTTTGCACAACTTCTATAATTGTATAAAAAAAAAACTTAGGTTTAAAGAGTATTTTGGGGGCCTCTCATTGACAAATATGTATTGTCAGATTTCAATACCAAACGAATATTTGTAGAAAATTTCAAAACCCTAGCTCTTCCCGTTCGAACAATATCATGCATCGGGCAGGCTAGTTTTTAAGTGGAAAGTTAGCTTAGTCTCGAAAATGTATCTAATTCATGACATAAAGCCTTCAATGTTCATTTTCACAAACATTTTGCTTATCTGGCCCATGTTTAAACCACTTTCATTGGCCGCTTAAACTAGCAAATTAATTTACTAATCGGGTATTTAAAAACAACTTTCAAGAACAACCTGATAATTGGCTCTAAAGGTTAATCGTTAAATATGAAGTCTGTTATGTTTGATGATCTAATGACATTTTAAAACTGTTGAAAATTTTAATTCGAGCCAAGATCAAAACTTACTTAATGAAAAAAAAAAAAAAAAAAAAAAAAAATGCAGAAGGATGTACATATTCAACATTTTCTAAAATAATTACGTTATCTGTTTCTTATTGGCATCTAAAGAAAATAACTGAAATTCAAAACTAATCCATATGTTGCATTATTTGTTTAGTTTTTGACTTAATAAATTAAATTCAAAACTAATCAATGTTTAATTATTATTATTTCTTACCTTAATACAAGCATAATTAAGTTTTTATTAAAACGAATTATATTTTGATTTATATTTTCTTTTTAAAATCATTTAATTCACATAATAAATTTGAAATTCAAAGATAAATACTAAAGCAATTATATTTAAATATGATTTTTGTTTATAGATTGTTAATTTGCAATTGGGGAAAAAACTTTAGCTCGATTTCTAAGAAGACATGCACAGTAAATACTACAAGGATTTCAAATCTTATTTTAATATTAATAAGTTTTTTATCTAGAAAAATATGTTTAAAATTCATAATAAAGAAAAAAATGGACAAAGAATAAATTAAAAAAACGAGTTTAAATGTATAAGAAAGAGTAAAGGAAATAATTGAATAAAAAATTTTAATATTAGTTTCATCTTATTTTTATGCACCTTCAGGTCACATACATACTACACTGTTATAGTACATACATACATATTTTAACTATACTGTTCGAATTTAACCGTCTATTTCTCTCAATATTTTTATTTATTATTTGAATTATTAAATATAAACTTAATATCGTGATTATTAATATTATTAATAATATTTTATATATTTTATAATTATTACTTTAATGTTGTACTCAGGACTACAATTATAAACAACCATTGAGGTAATATTGTTAAGCTCTACGTTCCACAAATTGAAAATTATAATTTCTAATAAATTAAGAAATTTTTATATTAATTATTATTATACTCATTCATACATTTTTGTTTATGTTCTTTTTTTATACAGATTAAGAAATACATTTAGTATGTGTATGTAAACAAACATTAATCTTACTTAGATAGGTAATTTGAAAAAGAAAAAAATTCTGTTTTTTTTTACAACGATTGATTTTTATGAATGTACATTAGGGATTGACCTTTAATAAGTTTTGCTTTATTAAACAAATGAAAACTGGCATTTAATAATAAATGAAATTACTTTTGTGCGGTTTACAAAAGAGTTCTCTAAAAAAGTTATTGCTAATGGATTCTACTAGAATCGAATTTACAAATATGTAATGGTAACTTTGTATCAAAGAGGATGTTAACCATGTCGGCTATATACTCTAAAATATATTTAAATACTTATTTTAAACATTTTAAAAATCCTTTGGTACTATCCCTGAAAAAATGGTTCATACTCCTAATGTACAACATATGTAAGAATGTAAATATGTATGTATATGTCTTGTGGTTCCTTATAAGTAAACCACAGAGTTTTAAGTTTTGTCACTAAACGAAGTACATTACGTTTAAATCCACCGATAAATAGCATACAGGAATTTTAAATGTTTTCAGAAATATAACAACTAGACTTTCGATGAATAACAATCAGAAAAGTAAAAATGAAACACGAGTTCGACGCGTGTCACCTTTGGCTCTTCGAGCCATCCCGTAATGTCACATGCTTCCTTCGGTGCTATTGCTGGTACCCTTTGAATCCATGGCTCCACCGCCACAATCATCGGCACCCATAGAACCAGCCGTTATGCCTCCGGCAACACTATTAAAGTCCAAGTTGTACTAAATTGGATTGAAATGGAATAAAGTTTGAAACAAATACATGGTTGAATAATTATGACTTTTTAACGACAATTTCCTTTAAAACATAAACTAAAAAACGTTTAATAATTCTTTTCAGTTAAACAAGTTATTGTTGAAAGTTTAAATCTCACATGGTAGTATATTTCCAAGAGTAGTAAAAAATATTTGATATTGCATAATTTTTGGAAGTTTTAGAAGTTAAGTAAGGTTATGTCAGACGCCAATCAAAATGGATTTATGAGTGCGAAAATTATGTTTTTGAAGAAAAAAAATCATTTGATTTATTAATTACCCCTAATTAAAACTATTGACAAGCAAGATTTAAAAAAAAAAAATTTGATTACTCAAGTTTAAAAGTGCTAACTTAGCAAAGAATTCAATTTTTAAAATATTTCAATTTTATTATAGCCTACTTATAAATCATATGAAATTAGCAAAATAAGTACGAATGTATTAATCAATAATCTGGGTTTAAAAAAAATTTAGAAACATTTAGGTGCTTTCATCGAAGTACCAATACAGAAAATTTTTCCTGAAATTTAAATAAATAAATAAAAATCTGCAAATTACCTTGGTAGCACATTCTAGGCACTTTGTCACAACACTATTGATAACGCACATTAAATTTTTGGTTTCCCTGATAACATGATCTACTTTCACATAGGTAGCTGATGGACCTACGGTATGGTCCTTAACAGTGAATTGTAGTGATTGTACAAATGTCGGCACACGATCTAAAACGTTTAATAGATCCTTTTTGTGTGCACTTGCAGGAACCTATCACAACAACAAATATTAATAGAAATGTAATAAAACATAATTTAAAAACTTGCTATACCTGATAAGAAAATTGTCTCAAAATCTTATATAAACGATTTGCTTCCTCAGCGAAATATTCTGCTTGAGTAAACAGATCTTGTGTAGTTTTTAGGGAACCATTGCCTTTTGTAAACTGATACATTAAAAACGCCATGGCCGATAAGTTTTTAGCTCTCTTTATTATATCATTATCACATAACTCTTCATTCCAACGTGGCTGTAAGTCTTTCCTAACAGTTTCAGTTTCCAAATCCAACTCTTTACCACTTTCAGGTAAATCATTTTGAAAATTTACTGTTTTAGTTGGTTTAACTTCAGCGGCAACATTCTATAAGAAATTTATAATAATATTTAATTTAATTTGAGAAGTATGTTGTTGGAAAATAAGTAATTAACACACCGTTCCCATGGATAAATATTTCAAATCATGATCGTTTATATCGGTCGTTGACTCTAATATCTTTTTCGATACCAATGTAACCTCAGATACCAGCCAAGTCCACATTTCTACAAAGGCATCAAAGTTTTCACTAGCCACATTGCTTAAAGGAAATTTTGTTAGGATTTTGGCAGCTAATATCACTTGCGGTCCATAGATTCTTAGATTAATCGAAACGTGACTAGCCTGCTCTTTTAAAGCATCCTGGACAGCTATATGTCGTAGTAGCTTACATACTTCTAAAATATGATCACAATGTTCATGAAATTCATTAACTTGTTGTGTAAAATGCGGCAAATTTTGCTGAGAAATGGCCACATTAAGGTTGTTGACGAGTTCCGTAGACACTTTCAGAGCCTTGAACATTTCACGCGATTGTTCAATGGCCGAATTTATTAATTGTTCTGAAAGTGTTTTCACGGTAGCTAGCACAGTGTCAATGTATTCATCTTGAAAATGATCTTTGGAATATTGTTGCTGTTCTCCTTGTTTGGCAACAACATTTCTTAGGTACTTATTTAGTTCTCTGGTACAGTGATCACAATATATTAAAATGTTTTCACGCATTTCATGGCTGGTATAGGGAGAATCTGTGAAATCATGTATGTTTTCCAATATCCGATCGAAGGATATCAAGATCTTTTCAATCAGATCACCGCACACGCAATCTGGACTGATTGTCTTGTACTTAGGACTATTGCTGCTACTGCTGGTGGAATAATGATCTAGGCCATAGCATTCATTTAACAAACGTTCACCCTCGGGTAGACCACCAGAGTCGTATAATTTTTTGCTTTTATTGTCAATTGCCCAACGCTTTTCGACCGACTTTTTTCTATAGACACTGTGATTAAGTTTGGCATTTAGATAGGGATCACTGTGTTTCGTTTTATAGCGACAGCATTGCATTAGATAGGTAAAGTGTTGTATGGTTGCATGTATGGTGCCACGCTCGTCGTTGTTGTAATAGGAGTAGTGTTGCTTCGAGGAATGCCATTCCGACTCTAGAATTGCATCCTTGATTATAAAATGTATGTGATCCATGCCACGTCGTATTTGACAAAATACTGTATTGCGATTTTCTCTTGCTATAACACAATTATAATGGATCATGCAAACTTTTGATGAAGTTATCAATACCTTTACAGAATGATCCAAAACCTGGCGGGCTGAGAGAATTTCTGAACGTCTTCTTTCTTCTTTTAAGCTGTTGTTGGCAACGTTTGAAGTCAAACATGTCATTTCTACCATTTCTGTACCAAAAGCCGAAAAAGCTTGCACAAATTTCGTAAAGTTCATAACACATTCCAGATTCTGGGGACATTTACTGTCTTTATATTTAAAGGTAAATAGTTGTTTAACGACAATAATATCAACCAACAACAGGACTCTAGTTATAGAGGTTAGTAAAGAGCGTGAAGCCAATATTATGGCAGTATGATCAACAAAAGTTTTGGGTATACCCACGGCCAAACTGCTAGCCTCATTAATCAAATCTCCAGACATACATAATTGTTCAATCGATTTACCTAAGTAACGAATATACATAATTAGAAATTTTACACAGATATGTGTCTTTAAGTTCATACCAGTATCTCTAGCATCTTTGCAACAGTCAAACATATCAGCCTTGATATCCTGAAATCCTTCAGCTATAATTTCTCCTATTGTCACTAAACGATCGACAGCCATATTTATGGCCTGTCCTACACGTTTACAAGTCACTAGTTTCTGTTCACTACTCATGTCCAAGTGCCGTTGCGGTGTTAACTGTAATAAATAATATTTATTATTTCATGTGCCTAATGTTGGCCTTACACTTGATAGGCTTACCGGCTCCAAATTATTTGCAGATATCATTGTTACTTTCGTTTATTGTCACGATCTTCCGTGTGTCGTGTGTGTTTAGGCGCTAAACCTTTAATTATATCCTATTTATTTTGCTCTGATTTTAAAATACTTTTTCTCATAATTAGTAGATTCAATAGGATCTGCTGATCACCTAGTAGTTTCTAGTAATGATGTTTAATTTATGAATATTAAAATTAAAATATTATTAGTTTTTTATATATCTATGTATCTATATAGTATGTATACATCAATTCAGTTTGCATTCTTCTCTTCAAAATATAATCATTCTAAATAAATAAATTTTCCGGAGAACCTCGTAATTAATATGTATTTTTAATGTCATATTTGATATTTGCATTAACTGCATATAGACATCATTATATATACGAATGATGTATATATGTTTAAACATCTGAAATTATGTACTTATGACAAATATCAATAGATATATTTATGTGTTAAAACTTTTAACACACATATTTTACATGTGTAGGCAGCAGCAGTTTACAAACAAACATAACAACGTTACAATCGTGTGAAATAAAAAATATGTACATTCATCCATCTATAGTTAAATGTATGTGTCTACCTAGAGGTACAATATAATTCGATTTAAAATCCAATTCAACTTTACCTTTACTGAGTAGCTACTCGTAGCCTATCATCATCATCTTCAAGGTTACAGTCCATAAACATAGAAATAATATACTTATATTACAAGTTATTATTCCCTTTTGCAATATATACAAGTACATTAGGCCGGTCCCTCAAAACTGTACATGTCTCCTGCGTGTTCTTTGGTAACTAAGAAAGTAACTAATAGAAATTTGAGAGCCATTGATGAGTATTATTAAGAAACCCTATTAGAGGTTATAAATTTGATCCAAAGAGTACAAGAAATTGATGATCTGAAAGTTATCACTTGAGCCCAGTTTATATCCAAGGGCAAGTGGAATTTAGAGAAATCTAGTGCGTTAACTGTCAGTGGGATGGTGGCTGTCACTTTTGAAGTTCTTTTAGACATTCTGTGATATGTCGCCAATTTAACCTAAATTAGCTAATTTGTATATTAAAAATTGTATGCAAATTAATATTTTGCAAGACAATTGATTTTTTAAAATTAATTATTGATGAATAAGTAGGTATTCTTAATTAAACTAAACCAAATAGAAACCGTTTAAGTTAAAATAAATGAAATTTTTAAAACTTCCCCTAAAAAAGGGAGCAGTATTAATGAACATACATTTATCCATAGCTATATGCACATGTATGTATGTAACGTTGTAACCTTGTGGACAAATAGCGACGTAAGAATAAATTCACATACACCAACACGTAAAAACAAATACACTCACTTATACGTACATTCATATACAGGGGTTCAAATATTAATTAAATATTTATTAAAAACAATTTTGAAAAAATTATTTATATAAACCTAGAGTAGACACAAATGCAACACTATTCATTACATACATCAATCCAAAAGGTATATTTTCAATTCTTATTGGAATGATTACTCCGTTATTCACTTTTTTGAGAATTTAATTACAAATACCACTAATTCACACTACGACTTGATGTTTTGTTTGTGTTTTTTTCGTCCTTGCTTCTTCTTTGTTTTCACTTTTCTAATCTAACATTAAAAATCCTTTAATCATTATATTTTACCAATATCTCCCCTGTTTGGAGTTTCCTGTAGACATTTAACTTTAAAAGCAAATTTTAATGCCCCCAAACAAAATCTCTACCACAATATTTTTTAATATTCTTAGGACAGACAAATACACAAAATATTTTTGCAAGACAATGACTGTAAAGGCATTTTCATATATAGTTTTTTTTTCGATTTTAATTCGTAACTTTTACCTAATTTCCGAACACAAATTAATGTCAGTAACGTTTTGAATATTTTGCACAATTATTAAATGGTTAATTTATAACAATTTGTATGTTTATGTATAAATAAATACATAAACAATTTGTGGAAATTTATTTATTTTATTTTCTTCACAAGTTGTGTAGATGCTCCCAGGTAAGCAAGTGTTTAAAGAGTCACTGGATAACACATGCGCACAAAGTTCCAAATTACATGATTATCGATAAATTTGTTGCATTGTGGCAGTGTAATCGAAAACACATTTTAGTATTATTTTTCGACTGCTAGTTACTTACTAGCATTTTAAAAAATATATAATAATGGACAGAAAGTTTATTTTAAAAACGTTTTTTAACAACAAGCTTTTAAAAACTCAAATTTTGAGTTATGTCAGACTTATAGTAAATGAGCGCTCTGTATATGTGTTCAAATACTTAATTAGTTTTAGGACTGAATGAATCATCTGAAGTTCAGAAATTAAAGCTCAAAATCTCGTGCACTTGCCCAGAAGTTTTTAGTCCTGCCATCACTCCCTATTAACATCTATCATTTTAATCACCCAGCATAGAAATGAATTTGAAAGTATGTTTGGGAACACCATGCTTAGCTGAATGACAAACACTTTGCTAAATGTTCGAGTTATAAATTTTTTGACGGATTATTTTTCTAATGAACAGCTCAACAGTTACCGCAGTCTCATTGGGCTGGCTGAATCCGGTTATAAAAGAAATCAGCCATTACATATTAACTCCACCGAGAAACTACTAGTAACATCTTTTAAGCTCAAGATTGCAATAGCTTTATAGAGTAGGAAACTGCGGGATCATTTTATTCAAATGTATTGTAACTCTTGCTTGCCAGAAAGCAATCAACCGTTGCCCGAGCTCGAAAGAGTACTTGTAACCATGCCAAACATATTCTTTTGAACTCGTGCAGTTAAAAAGGTATTAGCAGATCTCATTATAAATATGTAGGTCTCCTGGACCAGAATACTCTTCGATGCTAGCTCATCCATTAGCCAAAATTACTAAAAATTACCAAAAAGAGATAGGCTAATAATCTTGAAAATTATCGCCAAATGCAATTTGTTCAGCACTTTCCAAAGTTATGGAATGTGCTGAATAGATAGGTAGATAGATAGGTAGATAGATAGATAGATAGATAGATAGATAGCTAGATAGATAGATAGATAGATAGATAGATAGATAGATAGATAGATAGATAGCTAGATAGATAGATAGATAGATAGATAGATAGATAAATAGATAGATAGATAGATAGATATATAGATATATAGATAGATAGATAGATAGATAGATAGATAGACGGATGGATGGATGGAGGGATAGATAGATAGGTAGATAGATAGATGGTTGGATGGATGGATGGATAGATAGGTAGATAGATAGATAGATATATATATATATATATATATATATATATATATATATATATATATATATATATATATATATATATATATATATGTATAGATAGATATATAGATACATATATAGATAGATAGATAGATAGATAAATAGATAGATAGATAGATAGATAGATAATTCCAAGGCGTTTGATGGGGTGTATCACGGTGCACTTTTACCAAAACTAATTGATCGAGCTTTATCAGGAATCGCTCTATAGGAGTTGTTAGATAGGATCTCATCAAACGAGTTCAAGATAAATTTAGAGCTCAGTTCTTTCTCCCACTCTATTCCTTATCTTTCTAAATGATCTTCTATGTCAACATTTTAACGCTATCTACTCTTATATGCCAAACCCTTTGCAGTTAGCTGCAATGGGGCAAAACATGAATGAATCAGTAAATCAAAATCTAGTGGAAATCTCTGAATGGGGTGGTGCTATTAGAGTTAATTTTAATGCTCGCAGGACTCAATGTAGTGTTTTAACGCACAATCGTACAAGAATTAGAAGCTCTTGATTTTTTGGACATGAGAATACAGTGCGATGTTCGCTGGACTAAACACTAGACACTTGAATGACGAAATAAGCATTCAATTGTCTCGGTATTATAAAACGTTGCAAGACTAGTGCAGTATCATTCCCTCTCACTACTATACCACTTACATATATCCGATCTAAAATGGAATAAAACTCTTATGTATAATAGGTCGGTACGGCTACTCGACCACGTACAGGAGAGGGCGAAAGTATCGGTGACAGTAGGGTTTCCAACTCTATTGATACTCTGGAGCAGCGTGAGTGCGTTTTACTGTTCTACCGATACTACAATGCAATGTCATTTTCTGAAACTAGGGAGCTGTTTCCCGAAAGTCGCATAGTTAAACGCAACACTGATCATTCATCGAGAGCATATTCATTTGCAGAAAGAATTCGTTCTTAAATCGTACTGTCCGTACGTGGAACAAACTTCCCCCAAAGGTCTTTCCTATTACTTGGAATGTGTTCATAAATATAATGGTTTTAGTAGAAGTAATAATAATATTCAATATTGAGAGTCTTAGTATTATTTTCTAAAACTGTAAAACTATATAAAATTGATCAAAGTCATTGGTTAAAAGCACTTGATCCAAATATGATCCAATAATGTTCAAAAATTTCATCCATATGGTGATATCGTTATAATAATAATAATCACCACCATCATCATTAAGTTAATTCTACAACATTATTGAAAAATAACTTACATAAGATGTCAACATAATCGGATTTATTGAAAATGGTGTATAATAACAGTAATTATTAATAAAATGTATGTTAAACTAAACAACTTTGTTCATTTGCTGTAGGTCACCAACAAACGGTACTGCCCAGAATGTGAAAAATTTTCACACTTGTCACCCTACAACAGTTGGGTGGTAGTTTATGGTTGATTAAACATTTAAACCCTATTTTACTGTGATATAAACACGAAAATTCCTTATTATTATAAATGTTTTCGAAAGAACATGAATTCTTCATTTAATTTAAAATTAATTATCTGAGAGAAAACTCCAGGAAAAGTTATTTAATTATGGAAAATGCTACAAAGAATGCATGCTGCTTCAAATGTCTAATATGATTAACGAGCAAATTGTAGCATCTTATGGAAAATTTGATTTCCACCCCTAATTTTTGGCACCGCCTATTTGTGTGAAGTTGATTTTCATTTTTTGTTTATTTTTATTGTTGTTTTATCAAATTACTCGCTTTAAAGCGTGTAGCATTGTAATATGAGTATTAATTGCATCCTTCAGATAATATAGTGCTAATAAAGTTATTTTTCAAATTGAATTCCTTTTTTATTATATTATATATTTTGCTAAATTGATATTAAGTTAAAACAAGAAAAAAAAAAAACAAAGAAAAATTTTAACAATCATAAAATGGAGTATTCATTGAAAAATTTTGTGATTTCGGAAAATCTTAAAGATTCCGCAAAAACGTTTTATAGTTCTAATGTTATCGGTAGAGACATATTGACCAGTTATGATTTGGTAATGGATCATTTCAAAAATTGTCACAGTCATTCCTCAGCACATCATCATAGTACAGTAGTTAATGATGTCAATACCCAAGTACTATATGAAAATCAAGAGGAATCGGATATATATTTCAACTTTAATTCCCAAACAACTACAAGCAATCAGTTTTCAGGTATGTCTAGAGTTACTTCTTTTTTTCCTTTTTGTAATTCATTAACAAATTTAATTTCAAAATCAAACGTAACATCACACATTCGTACATACATACATACATATTTACATACATATGTACATATGCTATTGTTTGATTGTTAATCTTAATCCTTATGAATATTGTTATCCTATTACTTGTTCCTCATCTAATAGAAGCGCTTAACCAGAAATAAAATTAACACTTATTCGCATAGAAGCACACAAACAAATAAACACACGGACGCACATTTTTGTACAATGAATGTCTACCAAGTTAGATATTTCAATCCGACGAATGTTAACATTTTCTTTAACATAGTAAAATTATATTTAACCAGATGTGTCTGATGGGCGACCTTCTTTTACAGCGTTAGTACTTTTACTACAAGTTACCACTCAAAACACTTAAGTAAATTGGCTGCTGTTTGTCTGTCTGTCTATCGGTCCGTCCGTTTGTTTGTTTGTTGTTACAACACGCTTATGACACGCTTATACAAACAACAAAATTAAAAACAAAAAATGTTTTTTTTTTTTTTTTTTGATTTCAGGGGAGGAAATAAAAATTGAATACTTTGAAATTTATTCATTCGGATAAGTAATATGTCAAATTTGTTAGTCAGACAATTTTTTTATGTTTCATAAACTTCCTAATCCATGTTAAATAAGATCAAAAATATTTAAACATCATTGTATTTCCCTTTGATGTTTACTAAATATACATTTAAAGGTGCGTCGGAAGAAATTTGAGTTACGGAAACGGCATAAAATCAAATCGTAAAATATCAAGTGTTTTTTTCAAATTCGATAAAAATTTTAATCATTGTTTTGTCCTCGTATGATGAAAATGATGTCGGAAATAACGGCATTATGGTCGTCCACTTTTTCACTTTTCGCTGTATGCCAATGTTGACTTCCCAATTGTTTGCCAACATAAACTAATGACTTGGTCTAGCCCTTCAGATAATAATCGAATGGTGTCAGATCAAGTGACAACTGCATTTGTAGAAACCAAGTTATCCCCAAATTTTGATTTAAATAAATCGATGGTTGCGGTCGCCGTTTGACACGTAGCGCCAACTTATTAACGTTCAACTTTCAATCTATATTTTAGAGTATGATAGTTCGTTCAAGAGTGAAATCTTTTATAAGTTCTAAGTGTAATTAGAAAGTACTCTATATATCAGAGACATTATGGACCGAACTGTGTAGATTTTGATATAACAGTAATAATACAAATAACTAATATTATCTTATTGTCAACGTATTTAAGGAAATGACAATGAATTAATTTTTTAAATCATTTATGCGGGCTAGGATCAATTTTGAACAAATCAAAATGGTAAAGGTTTTCGAGTTATTTAAAATATACTTATGAATTATAAAGTCTGTCTTACATTCCGAATGGGTTTAATTCCGTAGTTATTATTCGGATCGATTTTGGTTTAATTTCTTTAGATTCCGATTAATTTTCTTCTTTCGAATATCGCTGATCCTTTCGGAAAATGCTCATTAAAAAAATAAAATGTTAAATAATTCTACTTCCGATCGGAATGATATTCAAAAATTAACATCTCCACCTAAAAGGCGGAGATTTACCGCAATGATTTTTTGTTAATTGACTTATAGTGGTTTAATTTTGAGCATCCATCGTTAAATATCATAGAGCCTTATTTACTCATTAAAACCACCCCCCGGGGCATGTTTCCATGATGTATTGCAATCTCGGGGTATAGAGGTGCAACCAGCACCTCTAGTCTGCCGGGACTATAAGCTGGTGATGTCACTTCACTCCTCGGCTAGTCCTTGGTATGATTTGACATGGGGTCTAACCTAAAGAACCACATAATCTGGTACTACGGGTAGGCAGTTGCCTGCAGGACTATGTCCTGGCTGGTCATTTGGTTGAGGTTCCTTCGGGATCCATCCAAATTCGCGGGGAGAGTAAGTGGCTGATGAAGGACTGAGGTAAGCTGTTGCCGAGACAACAGATACCCCACAGAGGATTGACTGTGGGACTAAGCGTTGGAAATGAGTTGGTGTTAATTGTATATGGTACGGGATGAATCTGGGGTATGCGGGCCTCACCCACACGTTTACCAAGAATAAGTGTGTCGTATGTTTTTATTTTATGAATGTGTCGGATGAATGAGAAGTGTGCTGGGTTGAATGATGATGGATGAAAGGTATCATATACAAATGATACCATTGAATTTTCTTTCCTTGTCCAGATAAACTCTAAAGAGTAAACTCTGTTCATATCAGAATTACCACAGTGTGTCACTGTGAGTAAGAACAAAGTCTCGGCTTATTTGATGGATACGTACTTCGGTCTACCGGTTACGTCTCTAAGTGCTGTTGCCGAATCAACAGAAGCTATCCCATCTGTGTGGTTGTAAACGGAAGTGATGTTTTACATCTCGGAAGTTAAGCAACGGGGCAGCAATGGTCAGAGATTGGATAGCTCAAGTACTCGAGCAAAGTGCTTGTTCATGGACCGGCTTTAGCCATGTACAAAAATTGCCACCTGATTTCTTCATTGAAGAAAGCACTTCGTCATATATTACTCATTAAACATATTTCCGAACTTCAAATACCCTGAAAAAACCCATGGCCTGAATTTGAACAAATCTGGTGCACATTTTTTTAATTTTAACGATAATAGTTGGTATTTTTTTTTTTTTGCAAAGTTCATCGATTCCAAGATTTAGTTTTTTTAATTAAAATTTGGACAATGTTTTTTTGTGTTCATGGAGATAAATTTTTAAATTGAAATTGATTTTTGATAATCACCAATTTTAAAATAAATTATTGTTATTATGAGAGAAGCAGAATCCTATATTGATATATAAATACTATTTATACCCTACACCACTATTGATAATCACCAATTTTAAAATAAATTATTGTTATTATGAGAGAAGCAGAATCTTATATTGATATATAAATACTATTTATACCCTACACCACTATATTGTGGAGGGTATTATGCGTCTGCGCTGATGTTTGTAACATCAAAAAATATTGGTCCTACACCACCTTAAAGTACACCAATCGACTGCATATACTCTTCTTTTGACACTAGGATATGGTTAAAATTGGTCCATTATATATAATCCATTATAATAATCTCTCTACTACTTACAGACTTTAAAAATGATTCATCATCATATCATGCAGATCGACAAAAGCAAAGAAGAATGCGTACCACATTTAGTTCGGCCCAAATAAAGGAACTGGAAAAAATATTCCAGGAAACACATTACCCCGATATATATACACGTGAAGAAATTGCAACAAAAATTGATCTAACCGAAGCCCGGGTACAGGTAAGAAAGAAAAGATAATACAGTATGATTTTATTACTTAGTTACACTGTGCTACAGTTTTTTGGCGATATTTAAAATAACGTTTTGATTGTCAAAAAATTATATTTAATTTTTATAAGCCTTTGATAAATTAAAAAAATAAACTCATGAATATTGAGGTTTTAATTTCTTAAATATGTTTTTAGGTTTGGTTCCAGAATCGAAGAGCTAAATTCCGAAAACAGGAAAGACATTCTATACATATCAGCAGATCGACGCCTTCATACTAAATATACAACAATTACTTATAATATTTTATATAAAATAGTTCTACAAATACAAAATGTGAAAGAATAGAATATCGTCAATTTAAATAAGAAAGACAAAAAAATAACTTTAATTAGTATTTTCAAATGGGTCTTTCTTGATAATTTAACGAATTACTATTTTATTTCATATCCCAATGATATTAAAGAAATAAAAATGTAAAATATATTTCAAATTAAACACGTGTTTTAATGGGAAATATGAGTGATCGAAGATTTTTTGCTATTTTCTTATTGGAGCGTTATTTAAGAAACTACAGCCGACATAAGATTTCTCATTTAAAAATCGGTTTTAAGTGGGAAATATGAGTAATCACAGTTTTTTGGTATTTACTCAATTGGAGTGTTATTTAAGAAACTACAGCCGACATAAGATTTCTTATATAAAAATATATTTTTTGTGGGAAATATGAGTGATCACAGATTTTTTCTATTTTCTCAATTGGATCGTTAATTACAGCCGATTTTAGATTTCTCATTTAAAAATCGATTTTAAGTGAAAAATATAAGTGATCACATATTTAAGCTATTTTCTCAATTGGAGCGTTATTTAAGACACTACAGCCGATTTTAGATTTCTGGTATATAAATATTGATTCTTAGTGGGAAATATGGGTGATCACAGATTTTTGTTATTTTCTCAATTGGAGAGTTATTTAAGAAACTACAGCCGAATTAAGATTTCTTATATAAAAATTGATTTTAAGTGGGAAATATGAGCGATCACAGAGTTTAGCTATTTTCTCAATTGGAGTGTTAATTAAGAAACTACAGTCGATTTAAGATTTCTTTAATAAAAATTGATTTTAAGTGGGAAATATGAGTGATCACAGATTTTAGCTATTTTCTCAATTGGAGAGTTATTTAAGAAACTACAGCCGATTTAAGATTTCTTATATAAAAATTGATTTTAAGTGGGAAATATGAGTGATCACAGATTTTAGCTATTTTCTCAATTGGAGCGTTAATTAAGAAACTACAGTCGATTTAAGATTTCTTTAATAAAAATTGATTTTTAGTGTGAAATATGAGTGATCACAGATTTTAGCTATTTTCTCAATTGAAGCGTTATTTAAGAAACTACAGCCGATTTAAGATTTCTTTAATAAAAATCGATTTTAAGTGAGAAATATGAGTGATCACAGATTTTAGCTATTTTCTCAATTGGAGCGTTATTTAAGAAACTACAGCCGACATAAGATTTCTTATATTAATATTGATTTTAAGTGGGAAATATGAGTGATCACAGATTTTTGTTATTTTCTCAATTGGAGCGTTATTTAAGAAACTACAGCCGATTTTAGATTTCTTTAATAAAAATTGATTTTTAGTGGGAAATATGAGTGATCACAGATTTTTGTTATTTTCTCAATTGGATAGTTATTTAAGAAACTACAGTCGATTTTAGATTTTCCATATAAAAATCGATTTTAAGTGGGAAATATGAGTGTTATTTAAGAAACTACAGCCGATTTAATATTTCTTATATAAAAGTCGATTTTAAGTGGGAAATATGAGTGATCACAGATTTAAGCTATTTTTTTAACTGGAGCGTTATTTAAGACAGTACTGCCGATTTTAGATTTCTGGTATAAATATTGATTTTTAGTGAGAAATATGGCTGATCACAGATTTTTGTTATTTTCTCAATTGGATCGTTATTTAAGAAACTACAGCCGATTTTAGATTTCTGGTATAAATGTTGATTTTTAGTGGGAAATATGGGTGATCATAGATTTTTGTTATTTTATCAATTGGAGCGTTATTTAAGAAACTACAGCCGATTTAACATTTCTTATATAAAAGTCGATTTTAAGTAGGAAATATGAGCGATCACAGATTTAAGCTATTTTCTCAATTGAAGCGTTATTTAAGAAACTACAGCCGATTTAAGATTTCTTTAATAAAAATTGATTTTTAGTGGGAAATATGAGTAATCACAGATTTTTGTTTTCTCAATTGGATAACTATTTAAGAAACTACAGCCGATTTTAGATTTCTCATATAAAAATTAATATTAAGTGGGAAATATGAGTGATCACAGATTTAAGCTATTTTTTCAATTGTAGCGTTATTTAAGACAGTACAGCCGATTTTAGATTTCCGGTTTAAATATTAATTTTTAGTGGGAAATATGGGTGATCACAGATTTTTGTTATTTTCTCAATTGGAGCGTTATTTAAGACACTACAGCCGATTTTTGATTTCTGGTATAAATATTGATTTTTAGTGGCAAATATGAGGGATCACAGATTTAAACTATTTTCTCAATTGGAGCGTTATTTAAGAAACTGCAGCCGATTTAAGATTTCTTTAATAAAAATTGATTTTTAGTGGGAAATATGAGTGATCACAGATTTTTGTTATTTTCTCAATTGGATTAATTATTTAAGAAACTACAGCCGATTTTAGATTTCTCTTATAAAAATCGATTTTTAGTGGGAAATATGAGTGATCACAGATTTTAGTTATTTTCTCAATTGGAGCGTTTTATAAGAAATTACAGCTGATTTAAGATTTCTCAATTGGTGCGTTATTTAAGATGCTACAGTCTATGATATGAGTGATGGTTTTTACATAAAAATCGAGAGAAGTATCAGAGATCAGTAATGAAAAGTGATCACAGATCAGTAATGAAAAGTGCCATCCCTTTTGTTGCTATTTTCTACCCTTGAAATGATGTAATATTAAAAAAGTACCAGATACCACATTAACTACAGCATGTCTCACCTAAAATATTGTTAGTGTAAAAATTTTTAAAATATTGTCATCACCCTGCTAGTTAGTGGCACCATCGAAATCTTATAATTTAGCTACAATTTTACTAAAAATAAACATTTTCCATGTTTATTACAAAGTGATACATAAATTTTTTTGAATGATATTGTTGGGAGTTTTGTGTTTAAAGAAAATAATTCACTACAGTTGAAACAATTAATTGTTTCAGTTTTTATTTTAAAATCGAACCATATTTTCCAAGGTACTAGAGTTATCTTACGACGTCTACAATCTGCTGTATATATGTATCTACTATTTTTTTCTTTTTGTCAAAAGATTTATTTTCAAGAATAAGAAGAAAAGAATAAAAAGTCTTTGTTTAAACATAATAAAAAGTATTGAAAGCGAAATGCGTAAATAAGTGGTCAATATTTTGACACAATTTGTTTGTCATAATTTGTTTGAATTAATTATTTTTTGTGTTTTTTTGGGAATCTCGAGTATACATACATACAAATGTACATATGGTTGTTATTATTGCATTGAATTTATTATGTAGCATTGATTTTTTTACTTTTTGTTTTTTTTTTAATTCACTGAAAACTAATTGATGACAGTTGTGTGGTTTGATAGTAGAGTAATGAATGAATGGTTTATTGTGTTTTGCTCCATATGAAAATAATTTATTAATTGAATTGAATTATGTTGTAATTGCTTTCAGTCAATAGAAAATACCAAAAACGATGTTTTCTAATGGTCTTCCTTGCAACTTACCATTTCCCAGTTGTCTAGGCATATCGAAAGACAGTGGAAATGATGAATTGCTGCCCTCCAATACTGGCAATAGAGAACCAGTTATATTAAATGTATACGACATGGTAAGATTCATTTTAAAGCTATATTTTCAAGTAAAAATTAATTTGTTTTAATGTTCCACAGTATTGGATTAACGAATATACGACTTCGATTGGTTTGGGTGTTTTTCATTCTGGCGTAGAAGTATTTGGTACGGAATTCGCTTATGGCGGGCATCCATTTCCATTTACTGGTGTTTTTGAAATCACGCCCAGAGACCATGACGAACTGGGTGAACAATTTCAATTTAGACAAAGTATACAAATTGGCTGTACAGATTTTACGTACCAAGAAGTTAGACGTATCGTTGAAGAATTGGGCAACCAATTTCGAGGAGACCGTTATCATTTAATGAACAACAACTGCAATCATTTCTCCAGTGCTCTTACTCAGGTGTGTGTTTACATTACCAATATAAATAGTTTTAAATTTATAAAAAAATATTTATTTAATTATAGATCCTTTGTGGCCAAGAAATACCCAGCTGGGTAAACCGTTTAGCCCATTTTAGTTCTTGTGTACCATTTTTGCAAAGATGCTTGCCAAAGTAAATTTCATTAAAAACACTATCTTCATAATAAACTAATTGTTAATGTTTCTTCTTTAGAGAATGGCTCACTCCAAATGCCTTACAGCAGAGCATAACGGCTATCCAGGAACGTGATGACTCTGAACATAGTCCGCTTTGAAATAGGATTTGTTCGGGGCAACAACAATAATCGAAACACATTGCACCAATTTGTACTATATAAATACATACTCGTACAACCAACCATCATCAACACACACATACTACATACAAACAAACATACAGACGACATACATACACATACATATTTGCATATAACAATTATATTATTTTTTAAAATTTTTAATATTATTTTGTATTTAGATTGATAAATTTTAGAAATGTAATTCGGTTAAATTAACGATTAAACGATAGATAAATAGAAATATGTAATTAATTCATTAAGATCACGATCATCGGAATTTGCATTCTATTTGTTTAAATTTACGATCAGTATCTTGTGGATAAATTTCGAAATAAGATCGTTTTTATTTTTACACGGAAAATTATTCGTGCGAAACAACAAATAAGCATTGCAATGAAAATGAGCATTTATAAAAAAAAAAAAATATATAAAAAAGAAACATGTTATCACTTGAAATATTTATTAATATTTCATTATCTTGAACAAAAAGAAAAAAATAAGAAAAATTATAAAATGTATTTTGAGAAGTTTATTTATTTAGCTCAAAAGCCATTTATTTTCTCTCTCTTTAAATAGGTCTTATTTTAATTAAAAAAACACTTGTATTAAAAATGAATTCAAAAACTATTATTTAATATCACTTCATGACATCAAACAAAAAGAAAAAAAGTTAAAAAATGGTCTATA